AGCTACTATCAGGGAACTTTAAACTTTAGATCTAGGATTTGGAGGGGCTCATTGGTCAGAACCAAGCAAAAAGCCATATTTCTAATGTATGGCAGATGAAAAGTGAATCATGTTAGAAGGCAAGAGGTGTCATGAAATGCTTTGACAGTGAGAGAGAGAAAAAGAGAGAGAGACAGAGAGAGAGAGAGAGAGAGAGAGAGAGAGAGAGAGAGAGATCTCCTGGGGTTGAATTTATCCAAATGATTTGACTTCTCTCAATCTCAACTTTTTTTAACTGGAAGTAAGGATACTTCCCTCATAAACTTATTCAGAAGAGTAAATGATGTATGAAACCCAGGCAAAGCATCCACCAAGTAGTGAGGGCAACCCAGCTAGCTCTGATTACATACTGGAGTGCCCATGGTGTCAGTGCAGGACTGACCTTAGTTACCAGAGCCCTACTAGGTAAGCCTGAGAAACCTGCCGGATGGAGAAGGGAGGCAAGGCTTCTAGAGGTGTACAAGGCCACACACTAGCTTGTAGAGCAGGGATTATGATTCAGGCTTGTTCCCACTATGCCCATGCTCTTTCCAGAAGATCCACGTCTGACCAATCGTATTTTTTGTTTAGTTTCTCTTTTGATTAGTATATGTTTGAAATACATAATCACCGCATTTGGCTAGGTGACCAATCCTGTTGGTCTGCATCTGGATCCCAGCTCAGGCCTATAAGTGCTTTCCCTGAGGCTGTAACTTAGACCCAAAATGACCTGGAGATGAGTTTATGAAAACACCCTTGCTCATCCTATGAATGAGCAACCAACTAACACCAAAACTCTTTGTCTTTAAGACCATGGCCTTTTCATTACAACTTTACACCTGATACTGTTGTAGAGACTAAGGGCTTGCAACCTGATATGTGGGAGGATTTAAGGAGAGACAAAGCTATTTTTAAAAATGCTCTCACTTCTAACTTTTAAAGACACTTGTAGTTAAAGTATTTTTGTTTCTATGCATGAAGATTTAAAAAATGTTTTTTCATAAGAATACAAAGTGACCAATTTTATCATTGAGTGGAAGTTAAAACTGAGATTCTTTTTAATATTAGTCCTAAGTGGCATTTAGGATCTTCGCTGTAGGTTGCTACAATGACACTATTATAGACGGAAGTGTAGGGTTGGGTTTGGTTTTGGTTTGGTTTGGTTTTCAATAATCAATGTCTATCAATTACATTCTGGAAATGTTCCAGTGGTAAGGAGCGTATCTGCTTGGAATCCACCAAAGCTATGTTCCTTGGGTTGGAAGGTGAGAGGGTGAAGCATGTTTTGCTCTATCTGCATAGATTACCTAGTTCACATCAAAGTAAAATAAACTTTTTCATTGTCTCTTCCTTGGAAATCTATTTGGTACCACAAAATTCTGCCAAATTCTTTTACCAACAGTGACTTATCTGTGACAATTTTCCATGTAGCTCCAAATTTTTTAGAATTGTCAACAAGTCATTCCAATAAGAACATGCTCTCAATTAGTTCATGTTCCTGTCCTGTGTCTTTAGAAAATGATATTTATTCTTCTCTTGCTCTGGAGTTAGATGGAAAAATCTTCTCTTCTGTGACTTGGAAATGAAGAGCACATCTTAATATGTCAGATTTTCATAGGCTCTTTGAATGTCTGTATCTCCCATTTCCAAAGCCTTTAGTGTATCTTCAAATCTAAAATGAAGTTATATCATGTACAGGTACAAATTCCCTATCATGAATGTGATTTATTGAGTATACCTAAAATGTATAAACTTTATTAATAATTACAAATACTGGCTGATTTTCATCAAAATACCATCTATTAATTTCTTCTCTAAGGTGAAGTTTAAGCTGGAGAGGATTTCAGTTGCGAACCCAATAGCTTGACTGAATCCATTTTCACCAACACAGGATCTATCAATTAATTTTAACTTTGCGTGTAACCTCTGACCAAACATAGCAGATTGACTTTGTTCTGTTTTAAAGTTCATTGTTGCAGGTTAAATAGGACTACTAGCAACGTTCACTTTGTCTCCAGACAGTGGGAGCTCCAATGTGGATTTTTTATGGGACCTCTCTGATGTTTCCTTAGAGCATGCCAAAAAGCACATCCTCATCATGTAGAGTTTAACCATCATCTTAAAGTAGTGCTATAAAAGTGGTTATATGGAACTTCTTGTTACTCAAATACAGTAATGCATTAACTGGTTTGTAAGGTTAGAAGTCAATGCTGACTGGCTTTCTTTGTTCTTGTTACAGTTGCTTCATAATAACACAACCAGTCCATCTGGAGGTGCTTTTCAATAACATTTGAGTCTTCATACAATGTAACCAGCCCCCAAGACTGAAAGACAGTCACCAACTCATCTGCTAACATCTTTGCCACTCATGAACTCTGGCCTTACGCAGGAACAGGTCATGATATCATGCCGTGGGCCACCTCTAGGTGCTTAAGGAGCTTCTTGACCTTCTAGATTTCTATATTCTTGTCAGCAGCACTGAAGTCTCTGGCTGTCTTCTCTACTTCTCCTCCCACCAATCCTGGAATCTCTGATTTAGGACACTATCTTCTCCCTCCATGTGGCTGCAATCCACTCATCTGGGACCTCAAAATGAAAGCCTTAAGCATAGGTCTGCCAGTCACCTCGAAATCACCAGAACCTCTTAAACTGGCCAAATACTGAACAGATCTTCCTGGCCTGGTGCTCAGTGAAAAGATGTACCTGTCAGTTTGCTCCTGAAGTTTGGAGCACTGGAGAGTGAAGCGACAGAGGGATGAGAGCTTGCTATTTCTCTCACTACCCGAAAGCTGGAGAAAACCTCAGAATTCTGACTTAATCTAAGAGCTCAGCTCAAAACTCCAGACTGTGCATGCACTACCATGCCTGGCTCCGTTCTGCCGCTTCTAACTTTCTAAACGAGTTTCAGTTTATACTGAACTGGAGAAAAAAAACCCAATGGGAATGTGTCAACTACCCTCACATACTAACACAAAAAAGCTGTACCTTAAGAAGCTGCCCTTGGGGCAGGGATATATGCCCGCCTGGCAAGTGCAAGGTCACTTGCTATGTAGGCACTGTGCCACTGTGCCTAAAAAAAAAAAATCTGCCCTTTAGAAAAGGCTGGGAGTGTAGCTCAGTGCTAGAGCACATACTTACCAATGTATACGACCTGGGGTTTCACTCCAACACACACACACACACACACACACACACACACACACACACACAGGAAGTGTGTCTCAAATAATGCTCTTGACAGCAACACATGATACAAATTGGAGACTTGGTCTTTGAAATGAAATCATAGGGGCAAAAGAATTTGAACCTGATGGTAACAGGTTATGATGATCATTTTGGGATGAAGGTGAACAGACAAAATAGATTCCAAATTTAAAATATTCTCTGATGTGTATAAGAAGCTCACAAACGAGGCATGAATTTGAATTCCTAAAGTCTGAATTAGACTGGCATCTTATTTACACATACATATTGCATACAAACAAACACACATGCACACACACACAAGCACACACATAATCCTTCATTTGGGCAGAGTTAGCAGTAGGTGTAATAACCTTCTGGGAGAAACCGGTAACACTATTTTGTACACTCTAAAATCCTTAAAGGAAGGGTATTAAATTAAATTAGAGTCCCCTGCTTACTTCTCTTGTGAAGCCCCATCCAAGTTGTTCAGTCAGTTGCAGGGTTTATAGGCCACTTGAGGGCCTGCTTGTGTGCCCTGCATACTGTCCACATCCCACACAGTTATTTCATCATCTCAAAAGGCATCGTGCCTCGTGTTTAGAACAAGCAATTTAATGGGACCAGAAGTCAGAAATTCAAATACAGGGTGTGGCGAGGGGAGTGGACAGAAACACAAAGGAGAGATGGGGACTCAGGCTCCGATCCAAGGACACGGCTGCTTCTCAGCCCTCATCAGATTCACCCTGTGGAGCTGTGGGTCCAGTTTTGACCAACTTTCACCTTTTCAAACTTATAGCCCAAATATTTATTGGAAAATATCTTTTGTATGAAGTATTAGCCACAAATTCAATTTCTTAAAAAGTATAAACAAAAAAATTCTTTAAACTTAGGCAGCCAAACAGCATGTCTATCTTCTGAGTATCAATTTGAACACTCTCGATTAGATATGAAGGTTCTCTCTAGTTCTAATTGTCTGATTCTAACTTCCTGCTGAGTAAATCTTGGAACAGTTTCACTTGACCTCTCTGGGGGCTCTTTCCTCCTCTATGAAATGAAGACATTGATTCCTTGGTCTACCCACTAGATTACTATGAAGATTCATCAAGATATTAAAATCATTTTATCAATGACAGGAACTGGCAATGGTGAAATGTCGGAGACCAGAAATTATAAATTGAGAGTAGGGCCTAGAAGATTTTGTGATGCTGGGACAAGACTACCTCAGCACAAAATCACTGATACCCTCTGCATCATCTAACTTGATCCTCATCAACACAACAGCCTCATCATTTTAAGGTCATCAGTGCCAGGTCTGGGAATATAGCTCAGTGGCACAGTGCATACATAGCAAGTGCAAGGTCCTGAGCTTGATTCCCAGTACCAGGGGAAAAAAAAAAAAAAGAAAGAAATGTATCTGAATTTCCCCATCTCAATAAAATTATTTAAAACGAGATCCTCACTGCCCTCAGTCATCCAATACCCCTCTGATTATTGTGTGCACCCAAACAATAGTGGCTAATTTGGAGTGTCATTGTCTCTTCTCATCTGAAACACTGACCTCCCAGGAGATTTTTTATGAGTTACTAAATTTGTTTTTTTTTTTTTTTCTTCATCCTTTGCTGTTGGGCATCTTGGCCTGTTCCCCAATCGTGAAAAATTACTATAACACAAGGATAACAACCTAGAAGATAAAACCTTATGTGATGAAGAAATGTCCTTCAGTGGATTTTACTGTGTGTTGTATTTGAATTTCATTAAGTATTCATCTATAGTGAAAAGGTCAGAGAGACACTTACCCTTCCATCTGGAGTTCTGGGACCAGAGTAGGGTGGAGCCTCACCCATCAGAACTGGCCACACATCAAAAAATTCCTAGGAGTTAAAAAAAAATTGCATGTTTTGAAAATAGACCAAGAAAAGGTGATTAAGAGATTCAACCTACATTAAAGTTGGAGGGTGAGAAAAACTCACTGAAATCTAGGCTGAAAGGTAGCAAGACTCATGAGCATCAGAAGATAATCCCACCTGCCTGTAAAATAATGATGAACCGGGCCCATCTAATCATTAGCCATAAACATGAAAGTTGAGTTGGGCACCCTCGATACTGTGGAACACGACACGGCAAGTGGGGTCTCTGTGACGGAGAAATTTATCTTAAGGACATGCTAAGGATTTGTTTCTTCTGGGTGATTAGAATGAGATTATCAATTTTTTTGGCTTTTTGAGACAGGGTCCTGCTAAGTAGTCCAGGCTGGTCTTGAACTCACAGAGATCCATCCTCCTGCCTCAGCCTCTCAAGGGCTGGGATTACAGTTATGTGTCAACATGCTCAACAGAGATTCTAAATTAATCATACATTTTTCCATAATAAATTTTGTTGCATTTGTAATCAAGAGAAAAAAATGTTTTCCAAACAAGAAAGAGAATACAATGTGCCAAATGTAACAGACAAAACCATATATAATGTTATCCAAGGCTGACACCTTGTAGAGCAAACAAAATCTAATTTAGGACTATATTTTTGTATTTAGTTTCAGCCATTGCCAGCAGCCAACTGGTCAAATAACCTCCAAATCAGACAAGTGCTTAGCTGGAACCAGTTCATTTATTTCTGTACTTCGCTTCCTAGTTTAATCTTAAATATTTCACTGCCCACACTGTAAACTTTCTGCCTGTCTTCTGGTTCTGAGTGCTACCTAATTCATGAATTATTCTTTGCTCAAGCAAGCTCTGTTAAGTGTGTCTTAAGGTTTTCTTTTTACATGGCTAAAACACTGGCAAAAGAGGGGAGAAAAGCCAGGAAGGAGGTGCACATCATGCTGTAAAAGGCACTGAACCCCACACAGGCCCTTGCCTGCTACTTCTCCTCTGGTTTCGCTTATATCCAGAGCTGCAAAGCCTGTGTTGGGCCAAGCATGGGTTTGGCAGAAAAGGCTTCCCTCTTTCAGAGCCTCTGTTCTCTCGGCTGTATTATCTGGGGACAAACAGTAATCCTCAAGCCCTCTTACTGAGGATAGAACCTAGCCCTGCCATCGTGTTTCATTGCCCCTCTGTTGTTTAAACACATGTATTACGATGGTTAGTATCATCCAGAAGACAAACAGAAAGGAGTCTACATGAAACCCAGTTTCACATCCTCAGCCTTTTGCTCAGTTAGATCCTTTTAGTGGCTTACTGACATCAAGAAAAAAATTCAGCTTTAAGTGAAAGTGAAAACTGGAAACTTATCTGAGCCCTATAACCTGCTTGCTATTGGGTGCACAGAGATGAATAAGGCAAAGTTCGTGCCGTAAGAGAATTTATTACTGTCTCCAGAAGGACATAATGAAGTTAGTATAGTAAGTTAGTATAGTAAGACAGATAGAATATGAACCAAAACAGTAACGGGAAGAGAGCATAAATGCTAGTGGGACCTAGAAGAGAAAGTATCATTGAGCCGATACCTTGTATGACCAAATTCTAAGTGGACCTAAAAACTGTCCCACAAAAAAGAGAAATTGTGAAACAAGGTAGAAAGTAGGAAACATCTATGTCTCCTTCCAACTTCCTTTCTTCCTCTTCTTTCATTCTCATCAGCTTGCTGAGATACAATCTACATAGCATATCCTATGATTTGCACATGGTTTGAGTATGTCCAGAGGCTCTTGTGCTGGAAGCTTGGTCTCCAGTGTGGCAGTGAAGACATGGTGGAACCTTTAAGAGTGATGCCTAGTGAAAGTTGTTGAGTTCTTAGGGGTGCTGTCCTTGGAAGGGATTATTGTAGCTTTTGATGGACCTGATAGTTCCTCAAAGAGTAAGTTATTATAAAAAGTAAATGTGGTGCCAAATATTTCTGGCTTCTTGTCATATACAACATGTGATGATTTGTGCATATGGTTCCATCACTGTGATGCAATCTGCTACCAGAGGTTGAACAGATGGGGCTTCCCAAGCTTAGACTTTCGGCCTCCAAAACTGTGAGCTAATTACATCTCTTTTCATTGAAAAGTAACCAGCTTCAGGTATTTTTATAGCAGCAGAAGGTAACTAAGATATGATACAATTAATCCATTTAAAGTGTACAATTCAAAGGCTTAATGACTTTTTCACAGTGTCAATAGCCTAAGGCCAAATAGCCTGAAGGCAAGTTCTTAGAGTGACTGAAGGCCACTTAGCCTACATTTAATTGCTAAATCTTCTTCCATCTTTGGGGGATGAGTAAGTCAAAATATTCTTGCCTACATGTGGTTTTCCGTTTTAGGAAGGAGCTCAAAAGGGCAAGAGGGAAGAATCTTACAGTATGGAAAGGACTGAACCTGGGGTCAAGTCATGCTACAACCTGGGCACCTGGAAGAATATGACTACCTAGAAATTCTTTGGATTGAGCTGAGGCTGCAGTGCCGGGGGTAAAGTGTATGTTTATCATGCATGGAGACCTGGGTTTCACCCCAGCACTGAGAAGCAATAACAAGTGGGCACAGCAGTATCTATCTGTGGTTCCAGCTACCCAAGAGGCAGGATTGCTTGAACCCAAGGGCTCCGATTTCCTCACCTTCTGCTTGGTCATATCTAGCAGACCCACAGAATATCTGTCACAGTTGAGAAAGGCGCGGACTGTGTACAGGGCTTTATGGAACTGTCTCTCGATATCCGTAAGCTCCTCAAAGACTTTGCTGCCAGACCATAGCAGTATCTGAAGAAGTACAGAGACACACTCAGCATTCTTGACACACAAAGCAGTACTTCACTAAGTGAAAAAGTAAGAGTTAATAGAGTTTATCACATTTAACTCACATAATGCAGAGAAAGAAATGGGATAATTATCCCAATTTTATAGATGGAGAAACAGGCTTAGGTGAAATAACCGACCAGTTTACATGGAGTCTAATCCTTTTCATTTTATATCATAGACTAATAATAATAATTATAGTAGTAGGGCTGAGGTTGTATCCCAGTGGCAGAGTACTTACCTAACTTTCACAAGCTTCTGGGTTCAATGCACAGTATTGCAGAAATAAATAACTAACATTATTGAGCATAAGTACCATATATATATTATCTTATTTAATATTGATAGTACTACTTTGAGAGTGATAACACAATTATCTTTGTTTTTGAAATGGAGAGACTAAAGCTTAGAGAGAATAAAGGACCAGCTCAGGGTCTAAGAGCTACTTAACAAGCAGATACTCAAATCTAAACCATCTGACTTAAAAATTCTGCACATAATGCTTGGAGACATAGCTTTACCAACACCTACTACCTCATACCATTAGGAATGCTAGGCAGAGACTCTATAAGGCATCCCAGGCCGCTTCGTTACCGTCTGTTCTGCCATCCCCGAGCCCACAACTGCTTTAGCAAAAGGACCTGCATGCTCAGGCCACTCCTTGAGCCAAGCTCCTTACCTGGCCACGTCGAGTCTCACAGTTGTGCATGTAACTCAGGTGGAACACTTTCATGATTAGATTTGCAAAATTGAGGTACTTGAGAAGAATCTAAAAATGAAATAGAATGCAGCAAACAGATGAGGAGGAAAAATCCTTCCTCTAATAACTTTTATTATCGTCAATAAATGCCTGAAAGTTTAAAAAGCTGTATCAGAAGCAGTTTGAACACAGGATTCTAGAATGGAAACTCATGTTGCACTGAGTATAAAACTCACAGAATGTAGAATATCAATGTATTAATAGGGTATATTTTTAAGAGGCTACTATTTACAGGTATTCCTTAACAAGCTACCTGGTTAATGACTATTAGACTTAAAACCATAACAAGCATTACATGAGAGATATCTGTGTTTAACTTGATAAGTCACTTACATAAACTATCTAGTAATCACAAGGATACTGCAAGGTGGACACTGTAAAAACATCCCCATTTCACAAATAGGAAAACAGATATTGAGAAGATCGGTGACTTACCCAAGTCTAACAGCTAGAGATTAGAAAAGATAGAACAATTAACCCTTCATTCCTGACTCCAAAACCCACCGTTTGAAACATTATTTTGTCTCCCATCCCTTAAAGAGAATCAGACAAACATTTGCCTTACATATGAGGAAGTTGAGGCCAGGCCAAACGGCAGGGCTCAGGGAACTTTGTGAGCTAGGAAAATGAGCTAGAGCGGCTGCCCGGCACTTCCCCTGGGAGGCTTACCTCTTCATCTTTCTTGGTGAAGTGGGAGCCCTCTACTTTATTCACAGCCATGATTACAGCCACTACGTCTTTCCCATTCATTATGGGGGTAGCCAGGATGTTCTTGGTCTGGTACTCTGTGAGGTTGTCCACAAAGTCACAGAAATGCTCATCCTAAGGAAGGCAGAGGCAGGCATGGGTAGGCAGACAAAGAGGAATAACAGAACAATCCAGAGCTGGCAAGGGAATGGAGACATTTCCACCTATCCTGCTTCAGCAAGGGAGGGGCAAGCAAACATAACTTGCGCCACGGAAATCTACAAAGTCCAGTAGAAGGAGCTCTGAGATGCAATCAACTGAGGACCATGGAAAGTGTGCAAAGCATTGTGGGGGCCCAGGATGGGAGGGAGATGATTACTGAAGAGAGAGGTTTAAAGAAGGGTTTCTTGAGGTGATAACATTAGAGCCAAAATAAAAAATTGAGTGAGAGCTATGAGGGAGTTGGGGAAACACCCTAGTGAGTACAATAGTGACAACAGCTGGCAGATGCTGTGCATGGCAGTTTATCTGTATCACTACATTTCGAGAACCTCTCAAGAACCTATGAGATGGCACCATTAGTCTATCTTACAGGGTGACCTGTAACTCAAAGTTAGTATTAGTTGTGAGTGTGCATGACTACTACTTCAGCTGTACTACTTCTCAAAGAAGCCTGGATAAGGTTACAGTGGGTTCAGGTCATGGAATGAAAGCATTTATTATCTAACAATCCATTTCTAGCACTACACAGCCAGTCCAATAGCTATCCCCATTCTACAAAGCTCGGTGGAACCCCCTGTATGTAAGGCCAAACACTGAGGCTTTGGGTGACTAAGATGCAAGCCACTCACAGATAAATCTGTAATACTAATACAGGAATAAGGACTTCAGATTATGGGAATACAGAGGAGTACACTCCCTCACACCTCAGTATTACCTGGAGAGGCCGGTATTGGCTGCAGTGCAGGCTTTGTGGTTAGAAGGAGGAGTCAGATCTTGGATTGTTATCTTAAATTTGAAAGAAATCACCTTTATGATTCCTAGGGATGGTTAGTTTCTCTTTATCTGTATTGCTAACCTGAGCTAGCCCAAACATGTGCAGTGCTTGCTGTTCTGAGAATGGAAATATATCTCATAGAATCAGTTCAAGCATTACTGTTACTTGAACAACAACAAAATTCACAGAAGTTTGCTAAAACTAAGTCTGCAGAATCTCTCCCATGATTCAGAAATTCTAAGGGCTATTGCTCTGTGTTTTTTGGATTTCCTATAGCTACAATAGGATTAAGTAAATGGGCAGAAGCATTGTTGTCAGTGAAGTTGTTTCAAGACAGGTGAAGGGTAAAGGAATTAAGGGAAGCCTCTGTTTGCATTAGCGCTTAAGGATTAAGCAAAATCTCTAAGGAGGCATTAGCCAAAAAGAATGCTGTGTCATTCTCTAAGGATGCATGTGAATTCTTTAGCAAAGGTGGAGGCGGGGCATGCACAGATACATTTCAGGTAGTCAGGTCAGTCTCTGTTAAGGAATACAAGCACTTGGGCTTTCCTGCAGCTGACGCAGAGGTTTCAAAGTCTACCAGAATCCTCTTTCCCTCTGAGTTCTCAGCCCTGGAACTCTCTTCTAAGTGCTCCAGTAACCAGTTAACTGGTGCCCACCTGATCATCATCATATGTATGTTTTTAGCATATGAAATACTCTTAAAAACCATGTTAAAACACTGGGGATTTAGCTCAGTGGCATAAGCTCCTGCCTTGCAAGCATGCAGTTGTGAGTTCAATCCCTGGTACCAATAAAAAAAAATCCCAAAAAACCATATTATAGAACCTCAGGTAGGGCTGGGGATATAGCTCAGTGGCATAAACGCCTGCCTGGTAAGCGTAAGGCCATGAATTCGATCCCCAATACCAAAAAAACAAAACAAAACAAAACAAAAAAACTCTTTGAAGGCTGAGGGTTTAGCTGAGCAGCACAAGCACCTGCCTGGCAAGTACAAGGTCATGAGTTTGACCCCTGGTACCAGAAAAAAAAAGTCCAAGCTTTGAGGCACTGGACCCTGAGCAGTGAAAAAGGATGGACTTCTTGCCCCAGTAATACTTACATTTAAATGGGGAAGACAGAGAAAAAGCAAGTAACAGCTAGGCTTTCCCTTTCCACCATGTAAAAACTGCCTTGAAGAAGACAAGTGGTGATGAATGTAATGGAAGGGATGGCAGGCTGAAGCCACAGTGGTTAGTTACGGTAGCGGGACGGCTTCTCTGAGGACCTAATACTGAGCTGACTGAGAAGACTCAGAGGAGTCATGGGGAGGGCAGTCCAAACAGGGGCACAGAGGATGCAAAGCCCAGGAGGTGGGAATGGAGAAGTTTGAGGAACAGAAAGATGAGTGTGTCTGAAGCATGGAGACGGGGAGGGTAAACAGAAACTGAGGAAGTTAGAAAGGCAGACGGGAGCCAGATCCAGTAGGACTTTGAGGCCACAGCCAAGAGTTTAGATTTCAGAGTGCAGTGCAACACTGCTTCTCACCCCTGACTGTCCCGTTCCCCTTTACAGACATCCATAGTGCCAAGCTCTAATGTACCCCATGATGATGTGGGGTCAGGAGTTTGTAACCCGGGAAAAAGTAAAACAGGAGCCTCATTAGCTTTCCTAGCTAATGCTTATTAGGAGTTAAAAACAAACTTTACCAGAGATAGTTCCCTAAGAAATAAATCAAGGACGAATGTAGAGAAAGAGAGATAAAACATAAGAGACACCAAATGGCCTTGGAGACCAGAGACCAGAGACTAAGGGAGACTAAGAGACCAGAACAAGACTGACAGAGTACAGAGAGAGCCGAGTGCAAGAAGCCAAGCTGAAGTAGCCCTCCCTCCCCAGCTCCAGTGCAACACAGGAGACACAAGAGGGAGGGCTGCTAGCTTTGGGAAAAACTCTCACACGAACTGGGTGTCGTGACATGCACCTGTAATCCCAGAACTGAGGATTGCTATGAGTTTGAGGACAGCGAGTTCAAGCCCAGTCCAAACTACACAGTGAGACCCTGTCTCAGAAAACAAAACAAAATAAAAAATCTCAGACAACTATATACACACACCTCCACACTAACATACATATACACATATATAGTCACTCTGGGGTCATCATGTTTATCATATAGTTACACAGTACGGTGGACATCTACATGTCCCTTTACTGATTCTAAACTAACCATGAATAAGACCTTCCCTTGCCAACTAGCTGCCCATCCCTTAAGATAAGGCCCTGAAAAGTAGATCAATAACAAGTAAACAGACAGAAAAAAGCTGCACATAGACCCCCAAAAAATGGTATTAGGCAGAGGTGCCTGAAAGCCAGTGCAGTTATGGTAAGTTCCAGTTTGGGGGGAAGGGTCTCTGAGCCCCCCCCCACACAAAAAAAAACAGCTGTAAACAAAGGACCCACGGGTCCGCCATCTTCCAGAGCCTCTGCCCTAATTCTTTCTTTTCAGGGTAGCTATCCATCTTTTCCTCTTCTCCTTCCTTTTCCTCTTTACCAATAAAATATCTTCCATTCATTAAACTTTGTCCCTCTTTTTTTTATGGGAGCTGAGTGTATGATCCCAGTGGGCTGTTGGTACAGAACAGGGGTGCTTGGCCCCTGGATACAATAATAAGATATATTTATTTAGTAATAATGAAGTACCAGGCCCAGTGCCAGACAACTTACATATGTTTCTCATTATCTTGTATGAATCCTGCCACTCCAAACTATCTTCTTTCTCATTCATGTTTGTTGAGCCCTGGCTCTGTGTCGGACACTAGATAAGCCAAGATCAACAAAATGAGGTTGCCCTTATTCGGTCCACAGAGTAGAGCAGTATTTCATGTAAGACGTGAACCCACAATGCAAGCCACAATGGGAAGCAGATTAGCACAGAAGGAGGGATTTAACCTGGGGCCTCAGAGACAGAAGCCTAGGACTGGCTGAGAGGCTACTTAGTACAACACCAGAAACCAAAACCCTTCTGTGCTTTAGTTTCCCCTTTGGTAAAATCAAGAGTGGTGGATCAAGTCCTCCTTGAGGTTTCTCTCTTCACCACTGTCCTGAGTCTCAGGTCTCCAGGAAGGAAAGGACAGGAGAGGCAGACTAGATGTGACAGTCCCTAGGATGATGGGCTTCTCAGGTTCAGCCTTCAGAAATGGAAGTGGCTGGGCAAAGGAGTGTTGGAGAAGAGCTGTCATTTATTCCTTGGCTCACTCAGCCAAGGACAATGAATACACCCACTGTCCCAGCTGCTGGAGTAGGTGCCAGTAACCAGGGATGAGTAAGACGGGCACAGAGGGCCTCATGGCTTTTCTGCTGGGAGAAAGGGTTACGATTAATGCAAATAAGTACTGAATAGCAATGAGGCATTCTGTAATTAATAAATAAAACACAAGGTTCCCTGTTAGGGCCTGGGGATTTAGCTCAATGGCACAGCACCTACCTGGCATGCTCAAGGTCCTGAGTTCAATTCCCAGTACCAAAAAAAAATTCCTGTTAAATTACAATTTTAAGTAAATAAACAATTTTAGTTGGATATCAAATACTGCATGAGATATATTTTTACTAAAATATTATTCTTTGTTTATCTAAACTTCAAACTTAGATGGGTGTCATATTTTATCTGGAATTTCTAATTACAACTTTTCCTAGGGTGATTGCCAGGATAAAGGGGATCTGCTAGGGTAGGAGGTACATTAAAGCCCTGGAAAACTCTATGTATAGTTTCACATTTCAGAAATGCAGTGACTGGAATCGTTTCTCAAGTTTTTGTGGAACATTTCTCACTTGTTAGTGGCCCAGGGATAACCTGGACCCCAATCCATACCATTGACCTCCTCCATTCACCTTTTACTGTTTAGCAGTCAAGATTGTGTCTTGTCCTTAACCAAAAATTGGGTAAGATTTTCCAAGGAGAACAAGAGCAAATAGCTGTGTACTCAGCAAATACTGAGTACACAAGACTCCTTGGGCTGGACTTACTTCACCCCTAGGCTGAGTCACAGCCAGGGAAATTGCCCTAGGCCAATAGGTTCTAGGGAAAGACAGGTGTGGCTTCCAGGGTGAACTCTGGGGGTTAAGCAGGAAGCAACAGTCCATCATTTACATGGAAATTCAGCAAACTCTTGGGCCTGAATCTGTTGGAATCAGAGAACCTTCCTAAATCTTCAATCCTATAATGCTAGAGTCTATAGAACCCTTGTTCTGTTTTCCCACAGGCAGAATCTAAACCACAAACCCAGTACAGCATCTGTCACTTAGAATAGATCCTTAGCAGCAGCAACAAAATAATGATTATAAAAATAAAAAGGAACTATCGAAGTGAGTTATTATCATGTGCCAAGAATACAGCAGAATGAGAATACTCCCCTTGTTTAATCCTTATAATGCCATGAGGCAGCTGTTCTCAGTGTTTCATATAGTATAAAATGAACTCACACAGGCCAAATGATGTGCAAAGGCTGTATTCTTAGAAGGTGCCAGAATTCACACCTAGATGTGATCTCAAAGTGTAAGAGTTTAGCTTTCTGGCATAGGATTAGAAATGACCTTTCTTCCATGACTCTCAGTCCATCTCTCTCACTTTAAAGACAAGGAAGAAGTACAAAATAGTAAAGAGCAAAGATTGTAAACTCAAGTCCAGAGTTCCTGGGCTTAAATTCCTTCCCTGCTACTTGTGTACCTTGAGCAAGTAATTGAACATTTTTAGCTGTCAATTTCATCATCCAAAGGACAGAGATAATAAAGTTTTTCCATAAGAGTTTAACAAAGGTTGAACTCATGAGATAGTACTTATGATTATGACTAAAGTCTAGAGACAACTGAAGGGAGATAAACTCCAGCACAACTGGACAAATCCAGTAGAAAGCCTTTTGAGTACCGAGCAATGCCAAGGGGAACCAAGGGAAGAGAGGGGCAGAGATCAGCCCCATGGGGGAGATGGCCCAGTGTGTTTCCCTCTGAGGCCCCCGTCTGGGTTTCATGACTCATTTAGATTATCGCAGTATTAGATTCTTGCAGTAGAAGTCCTATCTTGGCCCTAACTCTTTAGTGACCTTGGGTAGACCCCTTCTCAAGGTCTCCAGGGTCAGTTTCTTTAACAATTTAATAAGGCAGCTGGATCAAATGATATTGCCAGCCCCTCTGCCACTCCTAGAAACCTCAGACACCACCCTGAAATTAGACCAGGTGTAAGGTAAGGACAAAGTCAAAGTGTCTGGGGGCTGGATCCTTTTTGGTTAGTAAATATGACCCTGATGAATTTGCTATTATGAGGCCAATACTCTTTTAGGCAAGACAGGAGTTAAATTATTCCATCATTGTTCAACATAAAGCAAGTCTCATGTTTTATTTACTGACCACTTGCTTTGTTCTGGACATTGTGCAGGATCCTGGATAACAGGTGAATAAAGCAGACATGGTCCCTGACTCCAGGGCTTACTGTGATAGATGACTTCAGGAAGGAGGCTCTAATGTGAAGATCCACGAAGACTTCCCTGAGGAAATAACTTCTAAACTGAAACCTGTAGGAGTTGACCCAGGCAGAAGATTACATGGGCAATTACTTGTAGCCTTTAAAAGTTAATGTCTCAAGTCAGATATAATCCCAGAACTCAGGAGGCTGATGCAGGAGGATTGCCCAGAGTTTGAGACTAGTCTGGGCCACATAGTGAGGTCAAGGCCAGCCTGAGTACATAGTAAGACCCTGTCTCTAAAAAACAAAACAAAGAAAGAAACAGCAACTAATGCCTGAAAAGGGGAAATGATTTGCCCACAGTGATCAAAGAGTCCCTGTCAGAACGGAAAATAGAAACCCATAGGCCATAAGACTCTTAGAAAATAGAGCCAAGGGCTTAACCAAGTGATCAATGTTAACATTTATAGTAATGAGACAGTTAAAAATCAGATCTCCTCATGCAAAGTATGAAGAAATCCAGTATCACTTTGGTGATATTTTTGCCAGGAATGCACACCTGAATCTAAATCAAATAAGCCCAAACAGAGGTATATTTCTGCAAAATACTTGATCTGTACCTCTCAAACATATCAAATTCATGGGAAACACAAACATACTGTGCAGCTGTTTCGGATTCAAGTATATAAACTAAACAAAAAGGACTACATAGGTATAATCAAGAAACTGGCAAAAAGTTACTAAGAATTGCTTATTAGACAACAGTGTCATGTCAGCATTACATTTTCTGAATTCAGTCACTCAAGAATACATTAAAAATGTCCTTGTTCTAAACCTGTAATCCCAGCACTCAGAAGGCTGAGACAAGAGGATCACCTCAACACCAAGACCAGCCTGAGCCACACAGTGAGTGTAAGGTCAGCCTGAAGGACATATGCAGCAAGACCCTACCTCAAAAAACTAAAACAAAACAAAAAAATCAAGACAGAATGAAATATTTAGGGCCAAACTATCATGATAGCTGTAAGTGCCTCCCACATAAGTCAGAAAAATGGAGCGAGAAAGCAAACACGGTAAGTCATAATGATTGATGAATCTGGATGAAATACAGTCTTTTGCATTATTTTAAAATTCCTCTGATAAGTTTGGATTTTTTTTCCAAAACGAAAAGTTATAAGCCCTCGGCATGGTGATGACACCTATAATCCCAGCACTCAGGAGACTGGGGCAGGAGGATTGCCCAGAGTTAGAGGCCAATTTGGGCTACATAATGAATTCAAGGCCAGCCTAAACTACAAAGCAAGACCTTGTCTCAAAAGAAAAAAATAGTTGTAAGTAAATGAATAAAGGTGCATTGCCATCACCAGCCTAGTCTAGGAGGCCAGCAGCTCCCCAGCCCACTTGCACCCCAGGATTCCAGGGAATAATGTCTCGCTACTCTCTGTTATGGGGAAGAGAGTACCTCCTCTGTGTTGGGGACATTGGTAAGCTTTTTAGAGTGTGCAGTGTGTCCCACGACACCCATGTCCAGCGGGAAGACGATCTCTGAATCAGGCACGACCAGGCAGTCTTCAAAGACAGCATCCTTGTGGACATTGAAGAGCCGGGTAGCGAGCTCTGCAACACCATTACGGGCCCTGTACATGAACAAGCTCATCCGGTCTGCCTGCAGGAGGAAGCACAGCTTTTTCATGACGTTGAAGATGCTCTTCTCTGCATGTAAATTTTCCTGGAAGTCCCGTATGAGATCAAAAATGATTTCACTCTCTTCCACACTGCTCAGTGAGTGGTAGCTGCTGAAGTCCACGGCTGTCTCCTTGGCTCCAAGAAGCTCTGAGATAACCTTAGCCCGGTAGTGGTGGTCATAATACTTTTTGGCAAAGCCAATATTTGAGTCCAGAAACTTTTCCACCTCTTCTGCTGTCACCTCACCCATAGCTGGGAATCCCTCTGGTTAACTCAGTGCAGAGGCCACGATAAAGGGCTTCGGAGGCAGTCTGTGGCAAGGCGAGCAGAATGCACTGCTACAATCTGGACTTCTCCAGGTCTTGTCTGTCAGTCTCACTGACAGGACCGCATAGAAGCCAGAATGAGCTGGGGAGATTAAATCATTAATATTTCCTGAGAACAAGGATTACAAGGATCAGTGCGTTCCAGATGCTGCTGGGCCTGCAGCAGGAGAATGTGAGAGTTCCCTTTTACTTTGGTCTTCTAAGAGCTGAGAAGAGATCTCTGCAAAAAGCAGGTAGTGAACTTAAAACATTACTCAAGTAGAATTTGCTGTAGGCAGCACAAGGTCTTCCTCTGTACATGTGTTTTCCCTGCCCTCTGTGAGGGTCACTGCTTAGCAGATTGCTCGGCATCTCATGGAGATTCAGATCTGACTACTCTGTCCACATTTCTCCACAGCAGAAATGGCTGGAACCAAGAGACTATGGCCTGTTACCTCCCATCACCTCCCCGGCATGGGCTTTCAGTTTGCAGGGTCACAGTTCACAGCCCTGTTTCCTCCTGTTAGGGGTCTGTCACTATGGGCTCAAATTATTTTATAATCTCTACACAAAATTCATTCTCAGCTTTAGGTTACAGTTGACTTTCTACCTTTAGGATTTTAAGGGGACTTATAAGGACTACACACCTTTCATCTTTCTTTTATTATAAAAATAATATATGTTGGTTGCAGAACACAATACAGAGAAGACAATAAAATCAACCATAACCCTGCTGCTCACAGGCAAACTCTAGTTACCATTTTTGCTTCAATTCTTTCTGAAGAGGATTATTTTTTAAAAAGTCTGTTTCCCTTCAACCTGCTTGATCTTTCTTTTGGTGCATTAATGTGCCTTTTCTGGCATCAACATCTACCTTACTGGGTTGTCTGTCAGAAATGCACACAGTGGACTCCGGGAGAACATGGCGGACAGACAACAGCAACTACCGGAGGCTCTCTGAAAGGCTCGGCTCAGAGGCCAGGAATGATGCGGACTAAGGAGACACGAACCGATAGAGATATGCTCTGCTGACTCAGGAACGAACTGGGCTGAGAGAAACCAACTTAGAATACAGTCCTGGTGCTAAAATAGGAACAGAAAAGATTCGGTGTGGAGGCTGGACCCCGCGCCATTGGAAACCGCGATTTGGGTTTCCCGCTGCCCGGCGGCTGGCTGCTTCCACAAGCGGCTCGGCAAGGAGAGACGCGCCGAGCTCTGGGAACGGGAGTCTGCGAACGGAGTCGAAAACAGGACGGACAAGGAGGCGTACACGAAAACTGACTGGTGGCGAGGTGAGTGAGAAACTGACCCCCTACCACAGTTTGACTCCAGCGGAGGACTTTCTGGGCTCAGGCAGTCCTGTAAGAGCAGGGCGCGGTGGCAACTCCAGCCACACATTCCCCTCTCGGACGGGATTGGTGAAAAGTGCCTGGCCTGAGTGACGCTGCTGGCGGACTCCCTAGGCTGGCCTAACCCAGATCCCAGAGCCTGACGGTGGCCCGGAGGAGCGACTGACTCCCACGTAGGCTGCCTCCTCCGCAACTCCCTGGTGCGCAGCGGCGGGCGGGAACAACTAGCCAGCGCAATTTGATCAGGCTGTGGCTGACAGGCAGGGAAGCTGGGCCTCCTATGTAAGCTTGCATTTTATAAGGAACAGAAAATATGGGGAAGGGAAGCAACAAGCAAGGCTCCTCGGCCCCCAATCCTGAGAAACAGGCTATAGTGGACACCGCACCAATATACATTAAGCGCCATATAGAGAGCCTCATAGACCAATTCAGGAATGAAGTTATCAACGACCTGAAGCTAGAAGTATGCAGAATAGTTAGAGAAATGCTAAGCACCACCCAGGAAAAAGCAGATGGTGGAATGGAAGAACAGAAAAAGAGGGGAGAATTGCTTGATGGAGAAAACAGAGAAAGCATTGAGTATGTGAAGCAGGTTCAAAGGGACTATCAAGAAATTAAGAAGTCTGTCCAAGACTGGCATAACAGCTTGAAAGAAACTAAGGACAAACTATCTGAACTGGAGGGCAGACTTGAAATATGGGAGAATGAAATGAAAAACTTCTTAAAAATAACAAAGAAACAAACAGCAATAATACAAAGACAAGAAGATGATAAGAGGAGCCATAACTTAAGGATTAAGAACATAAAAGAAGAAGTAGGGACACAAACAAGTGAACTACAAAAGCTACTCACAGAAATAATCCAGGAGAATTTTCCTAATTTAGCAAAAGGTAAAGATACTCAGATGTATGAGGCATACAGGACCCCAGCTACCTACAACCCAAACAGAGCTACACCCAGGCATATAATAATAAAAATTCCAGAAATTCAATACAAGAACAGAATATTAAAAGCTGTAAGAGACAAGAAACAGACTACCTACAAGGGAACACCCATCAGAATTACAGCAGATTTCTCTTCACAAACCATCAAATCACGAAGAGCATGGGGGGAAATAATTCAAGCTTTGAAAGATAATAATCTCCAGCCAAGATTGAGATATCCTGCACAACTGTCCCTGGAAATTGATGGAAAAACGAGGTGCTTCCAGGATAAAGAGGAACTGGGGGAATTTGCAACCACCAATTCAACACTACAGAAAGTATTGCAGGATATTCTAAAAAAAAGAAAAATACAAAGAACCCAGAAATAGTGGCGGGGAGGCCACAACGAATGGAGCAGAGAACAAAATGAAGAAGACAAACTGACAGCTACTGACAGAAAAAGAGCTCAACAGAAATGAGACAGAGAAGATTGGATGATAGGAACAGCTATTTTGGAGAAAATGACATCTTAATAGGTAATGCTGATTTAGTACCATCTTGTTTTGAAGTCTCATCTAGCTTTTGTTCTTCTGTCTCCAATGGTCTAAACAGGTTGTATCTTATTGGATTTTGTTATGTACGATAGTATAAGCAAAAACCTTTTAAAGACAAGGAGATTATACAGAGACCATTGTTCATTTTGTTAGTCGATTCTAAATACTCTATAATGCTGTCATTCTCTTAAATGGTTTTATATTGTTTTGATATACTTAATGCTACAGTATATGAAGTTGTACTCAAGGACTTCAGGGAGGGAGTCAATATGGTAACTACTTTTGAGTCGGAAATATCTGGTGGTGAAACACTATTCTGCTTAAATGGTTATGTTTTGATCTGCCCTGTTTCACTGTTATGCCCTCTTTTTTCTCAATCTCCACTCCATTATTTACTTTTTTATTTTTATCCATTTAATTAAAGGGAAAAAATAGCAGGATATAATATAGTAACCCACTTTGACTTTCTATTATCTCGATTTGAAGCCCTGTATTACTCTCACCATCTTGTTTTTGACTGAGGTTCCTCTATTCTGTTTTGCTGGATAGTATCAGGTTCGAAAGTTTAGGCATCAGCTGAGAAGATAATGAGATTCATTATAACGCCCATTCTCGTTGACTTTTATCTACTTTTGAAGACCTACAATATCTCCAATGTTTTGGTTTTGTCGGTTTTATTCTTTACTGTTTTGTTCAATTGTATTACAACTAATGATATAGGCAATTCTATTAGAAATAGCGGGAGGCATTATGGTAACCATTGTTGATCACCTTGTATTATGTTTTTATATTATCTATTATATCCACCCTTTTGACTTGACCGATTCTGTTCTGTTATGTCACATTTGGTTTTACTCTCTTCCAAAAAAGCAATAAGAACCGTGGGAGCAATGAAACCCAAAATGTGTAATAGTCACTGTACAAAAGAGAGGAAAAGAAAGTGCTCTAAACTATATAATTGCATGTATATTTAAATGTATAAGATAGAAAATGATATCACAGAGTTTTATTGGATCATTGAACAGAACTGTTTGCAGTATCATTGTTGGAATGTCCACTCTACAAGCTTTAATTTTGTGACAATTATTTCTAAGATGGCAATATGTAATCCATTAACTAGTGATTTCCTACTGCGCATTTTTTTCTTCTGTAAATCTGTATAACTTGTACCCCTTCACTGTTTTTTTTTCTTTCTTTTCTTTTCTCCTTAAATAAAAATTAAAAAAAAAAAAAAGAAATGCACACAGTGGCTCACAAGCTCTCAATTCCGGTGACTCTCAGTGTACACTGGCATGCCCTGTTCACTCTGGGAAGACAGAAAGGGATCCTTTTCTGTCTTTAGCTTCTGAGACTGCTCCACATTGTACATACAGTTGCTGGAACTTTGAACATTGTAAATGAGCTTTGTAGGAAAGTAGATTACTTTCTTTGTTGTAGCATATAATAAATTCTTGAGACATTGAACCCATCCTTCAGCCCTGGGTAAAAAGGTGCCATAACCCACAGGGAAACACTGTAACCTCTAACCCTGAAGATTACTTTGACCAGATTTTCAAATCAGCTTTATGTTTGTGATACTAATCTATATTATGTGTAGCATAGTTCATTTATTCTTGTTGCTCTGTAGTATTCCACTGAATGAATAAACCATGATTCATATATTATTAAAAAAAAAAAGAATGTTTTCCTTGGGACTGACAGCCCACAGCACCCTGAATTTCTCTAAAACTCCACAGTAACAAGTCTGTGCACCCCGTATAAATGCTGTTTTCAGCTGTCTCCATGCTGTCTTCTCCACGACAAGGATTCTGGTCATCTCTAGATAGCTTAACACAGTCAACCCCTAGTACACTGGCTAGATCTTGCCTGTCATATTCTTCTATGGACCTTATTACATTTCTTTATTACATTTACTATCAGCAGTTATCTTAGCCGGGTGTGTTGTCACGTGCCTGTAATCCCAGCACTCAGAAAATTGAGGCAAGAGACTCCCCATGAGCTCAAGGCCAGCCTAGTAAAAGTCAGTTTAAGGCCGGTTTGAATGGCAAAGGGACATGTTGTCTCAAAAAGGTAAAAAAAAAAAAAGCCAAACAAACCACCACTACCACCAACAACAAAAAAACAGAAAGAAATTATTTTGTTTGATTCTGTTGCTTTGTGGTATGGTCTGTCTTTCCTCCCATAGTGTGAGGTTCAAGAGGGTAGAGATATGTCAACTTTCCCTAGTCCTTGAAATGCTATCTGGCACATTCTTGGTGTGCAGTATTTTATTTTCATAAGTCTTATGTGTTCTTGATAAAAATTCAAAACTATAAGAAAAGTACAAAGGAGAAAAGAAAAATAGAATATAAACCTAGGTATTATCACAGCCAGTATTTTGACACATTTAAAATATTTTGAGAAAAAATATAAATAAAAGGCTATAAATAAACATAACACTACAAAATCAATAAAAATATAATTTAAAATATCTTTTTAAAACCATATTTTTTCCATTTTACAACATAGCAAGAAGAAATATCTTTTCTGGTAACGGATGCTTTCTGCAAGGATGGGTTGTTCCAAGAGAGCCTGGAACTCCCCTGTGTCCTCTGGCACGGCCTGGACCACTTTCCACTCCTGCACGTGTCCCAGTGTGTAACTCCATCGACAGGAGGTCCTCACCAGGGCCAAGCAAATGCTGCCATCACGCCCTTGAACCTCTTGAGATGTTTTGTGTAACCCAGGTCAGAAAACAGCGGTACTGCTAGGAAGAGGAGGACAGGGTTGCAGGCCCACAGGGGCCACTGACTCATTTTGTGACTTTGAGAAAGTCTCACCCAGTCCCTCTCAAGTCTTCTGTTTCCCCACCAACGAGAAGAGATGTGGAATAGCTGGGCTCTCCACCCCTGAACAAGAGGATTTGCTGAGGACTGTCCTAGAAAATAACTGCAATGACTGCATAATGTACCTTTTGCTTGTTTAACAGAACATACACATCTTTCTGTGCCAGTCAAGGTTTTTACCTGTTGATTTTTAATAGCCTCCTAGACTTTTATGGTGCCTGTGCCATAATTTAACATATTTCCAACTGTCATTCAGACTGTTTCTAATTTTTATTTGATAATTTTCTGCTCTTCTTCATCACAAATTTAACTGGGAAGGTACACACAGGATCATCACTAATCTTCTAAGATCTTGTCCTGGCTGTTCAGAAATCTGAGTTGAATTAAAGAAATAATGAGAAAGTCAATATTTCACTGCACAGGTCATATTTTCATTTTTAAGTCACCATCTCCCGCAGCTCTAAGCCCCATTTCTGAAAAACCAGACCTGGAATAATGGGACTTTAATCACCATGAGATGTCAAATAACAGATTATATACTGTACCTAAATATTTGTAAGAGAGTAATTTGCCCTAACTCACCCTAGAACAAGAGTCACATTTCTTTTCTTTTTCCAAATCTAATTTGGATATTCAATCCCAATGATCATTATAGCCACTGCCCCACCCCACCCTCCTGTGAAGACCTGTTGATCTAACTTAGTCCAGCCCCATAAAAGCCCTCTGGCCTTTAGTCCACTCTGCTATCACAAATAAGCTCCTATCCAAGCGTCTGTGGCCCCTGACTGTCCAGCAGTTCTGCTCATAGCTGGGCCTCAGGCATTCTTGCTCTGGTAGGTTTCCCTGGAGAGGGCACCCACAGCCACCCAGAGGTGGCCCTCCACCTCCACCCCAGGAAAAGCAGAGGCCCTGGATCTTTCCACTCCAGGATCCTGCAGAGCCTAAATCATTTTCCTGTCTTCAGAAAGGTTCTTAAAAATCTCCCATCTCACCACTTAATCCTCCCTTCTCCCCCATCTGGGGCAGTTCAGCCTGATTGTCTTCTAAGGTCAAGATCTACAAGGATTGCTTCCCCGAGTCTAAGAATCGTGGCTTTCTACCCTGCCACACAGTAGCCCTGTGACACAGTGACCATGCAGGGACCCCACAGGAACACACACCTCAGAGAATTGGAGGACAGGGAAAATACCTATAATCACAGAAAAACACTATTTGTAATACAAAAGAATGAAACTCAGGGTGTAGCTCAGTGGTGGAGTGCTTGCTTAGAAGTGTGCAACTCTGGGTTTGACCCTCAACACCTCAAAAAAGAATAGAAATAATATGAATGTCCACCAATGATTCAATAGTTGCTCTTCTTAATGAACAAAAATACAACTTAGTTTCAAAGTTTGAATTGGCCTTGTGTTCAATTCTAGAATTGCAAGACTTCATTCCATGATATAGAATAAATGTTGTGGTTGGATACTAGCAAAGCTTAGTGTAACAGAGAAATTCTGAAAAAAGGAAGAACAGGCCGAAAGGAGAACTGGCTACTTCAGTTATTTTCCTTTTAAGACTGGGACAGGGACAGAACGATAGAAAAATAACTGAATAACAGATTATATAGAGTTAGTTTTTGTAAGGACAACAGAGTTAGAGCATATAAGGATGAAGGCAGAGGGAACCTCACCGCATGACGATGAACCCGTCTGTGAAACAGGTTGGTCTCACTCTCATGACTTTCCTAGAGGCCAGCTAACAACGCGGTGTCCGCTTCATGGCTTGGAATCTCAGCCTCTGGGCCTCAGGCATTCTTGCTCTGGTAGGTTTGCGATGACTGCATAATGTACCTTTTGCTTGTTTAACAGAACATACACATCTTTCTGTGCCAGTCAAGGTTTTTACCTGTTGATTTTTAATAGCCTCCTAGACTTTTATGGTGCCTGTGCCATAATATAACATATAACTGAATAACAGATTCCATGGTCGATTTGTGACAGGCCTGGCATACAGAAATGATGAATCTTTTTTAGGACCCGCAGAAACTGAAAAATACATATATCATGACTGAGTAGCTTGGATGTGCAATGCTCAGCACTCCTGGTGCAAGAAGGTGCCCACCAGCTCAAGATCACCCGTGGGCACCCATACAAGTCACCCTCAATCAGCTTCCAGACAAAAAGCACTGTATGCTAGCAGTCCCCATTCTTCGTCGCTTTTTAAATAAAATTTCCTTCTTTGCATCAACACCTTGGCTTATTGGCAGATAAGCAGCCTGACCTCAATTCCTGTAACCTTCCGATTCCTGACACGGTGTGTAACTGGAAATCTTCAATCGTGGGTGACAGAAACTTGGAGATGGATCATCTCTAGATAAGAGAGGGAGTTCCTTAAATGACTGTTCATAACGAGGTTCATTGGAAACGGAAGAAAAGGAAGTTAATCATGCTTCCTTCCCAAGGTCTCTGTTGCCCCCTCTAATGGGTCCACACAAGCTGCAAACAATGGTAAGAATGAACATGCCCCATCAAAGTGGCCACTTCAGGGCAGATAATTAAACCAGACAACACGATTGGCTGGGACTGGTTGGTTATTTTTCAAAGGAATAGAGGGCTGAGCAGTGAAGAATGAGCAGCAACCAGGCAGGCAGGTTACTATGAGCAGAAAGCAAGGCGGACCGGAAAGAGGGTGAGTTTGATTTTATCTCATGATTTTCATCATTTCCGAGGATCATGGAAAGCCACTGAGGGTTTTAAACAATGTTGGAACTACATCTTATATTTATCTTTATATTTATTTATTTGTCTTTTTGAGACAGGACTTCCCCATGAAGTTCAGGCTGGCCTTGAATTCACTTTGCAGCCCTGGTCGGTTTTGAACTTACAGCAGCCCCTGCCCCAGTCTCCCGATGCTGGAATTAATAGTCATGCGTACCACGCCTGGTTTATATTTACATTTTTAAAAGCGTCTTCCAGTTATGGGGATCTTTGGTGGAAAATGAGCTCTACCAGGGCAACAGCTCTAATACATAGGGTTTCAACTTATTCTACAAACGTCAGCGGGAGGTCCGAGAAGTCAGAGATTAAATTCTTGCAGCTCACAAATGCACTCTACAGTTCTTGACGGAGCGCTTCTGCCTTTTGTTTTTTTGGCTTGTTTGTTTTTTCAGATAGGGTCTCGCTTTGTAGTTAACGCTGACCTTGAATTTAGTACCAGGCTGGTCTCGAATTCAAGGCGATCCTCCTCTCCCAGCCTTCCTAATGCCCGCCTTTTCCTTGATACTTCACCTTCCCTGCAATCCTAGTTGCTACCCAAAAATCGGTGATCAACTCGGCGGATGCTGTGGCCAAGAAGCACCACCCTAAACGCCGCGTGGCCCTTCTGCCCAGGACAGCCAATCGTGACGAAGGGAAAGGATAAGGGGCGGCAATCTCGCCGGCCTCGGTCGAGTCATTGGCTGGCGGCCGCGTCGCTCGCCGCGGGACCACGTGACTGCCCCGGCCGGCCGCGGGTTTTTGCTGCCGGCTTGTTTCCTGCACCTTTAGGCCGGTGCGCGCGCCGCGCCCTCTCGGTGCAGTTTGGCCCGACCCCGCCCGATCCGGGTAGGGGGCGGGCCATGGGCGGGGAAGGGGACGGGACAGTTAAAGAGCAGCCCGCGCGGGGCCCGGCGCCTTGGACGGCGTGGCAGTGTCTGTTCGGCCGGTCAGTGGTGGAGGGCGCGCTGCGGACCTGGTGCGGTGGGCTGGACCCACGAGGTGAGGACAGGGGAGCGGCGAGCGGGGCGGGCCCTGCGTGGCCGGCGGGCTCCCCTCTGAGTCATCCCGGGTCTCACCCCGGGTTCGTTGGGAGCAGGTCCTGACCTACGGTCTCTGGCGTGGTGGCCGGGCCGTGGAGGTGGGCGTGCGTCTGGGCTGTTCCAGGGCGCGAAACGGCCAGCTGGAAGGTGCCACCCCCAGCCCGCGATCTGGCCGCCCCTTTCCTTCTTCCCAAAACCCTCGCACCTCGTGGATACCGAGAGTTTTCCCTGAGCTGCCCCAGGAGATTGGGGCCACACCTTTGGACAGATGGGAAAGGCGACCTGGAGAGGGCAGAGCACTTGGTTAATTGACTATTAAAAGCAAACACTTCCTTGGTTAAGAACAAACTCAGGACCTGTACTTCTTTCAGACAGTTCTTTCGGTTGTTAGTTGGGGATACCGAGAACACACAAAGGGCCAGCTCCTTGGGTGCAATTACAGATCAAGTCAGTTGCAGAGCCGGGGTTTGTACCCAGCTTTCCTAAACTTATAGAATATCAGGTTGCATCCTTTTATGCAGATTGGGAATCACCAGTGAGTTAGAAGCTTTCAGAACTTGAATTCTTTTCTGTTACCATGTTTTTCTTTCTTTGTCCCCACGCCCTCTTGTGTGTGTGTGTGTGTGTGTGTGTGTGTGGAAGGTGCTGGGGATCGATGGAACCCAAGGCATCTGTAAGTGCCCTACAATTGTGCTACCTCCCCATTCCTGCCCTATTGGTCTTTATGTGAAATGTAAGAATAATATGGCACACACTATTGAGTGAAACAGAAATTTATAGTTTAGGAAATTGGATCCATAAGAAGTGGAGAGTCAAAGCTTTAGGAAAAGAAATGAGTTCATTTCACCTCCACCTCCTACAAGAACCTTAAGGATTTCAAGAAACAGAGTAATAGCTATCATCTTTTGAGTAAATGTTATTTACAAGATACTTGTGTTAGCTATAAAACAATCTTGCAAATTAGTTGATAATATTATCTCCATTTTACTGGTAAATTGATGCTGGTAAGTTTTCACTGTTGAGCAGTGTAGCTGGGATCTGAATAGAGATCAGATGGGTCTGACTTCTGTAACACACGTATTGAGTCTCCAAGTATGATTCTAAGCTCACTAGCTCAGCGTCACCTAGTATGCAGGGGCAGGTCTAAGAATCTGCTTTTTTCTTTTCTATTTTTTTTTTTAATTGAGGATTAAACCAACAGGCTTCACACTGAGCTACATCCACAGCCCTTTTTTTATTTTTAAGTTATCCAGGCCAGGCTTAAACTTTTTATCCCCTGCCTCTGCCTCCTAGAGTGCTAGAATTAACGGTGTGGGCCTTTATGCCCTCCTGAATCTGCATTTTCTGTATTTGGAAATCATTGTATAGTGTACCAAAACAATGTGCTGCTTCCTAGGGGGAGCTCTAGAGATGAATATGTTCAGGGCTTTGTGATCCTCAAATTCTGTTCACTAGGGGTAAGTTTTGAGACTAATCATCGCAGTTTAGAAGGATGCTTGCAATTTCTTGACAAACTACAGTTTCTTGACATAAGCTTAGTTACAGGGTGGGGATGGAGGGATGGAGCTTAGTTAGAAAAAAGAACAAAGCTGTTAAACTGTCGTGCATTCAACCAAAAGATTTGTGAAGCACTTACTAGGTGCCAAGCCAGGTGTAGTAGTTGGGATACAGCTTCAAACCAAACAAAGCAAACAATTGAATCCTCTGAGAAGGACAGACTATTCAAAGGGTGAATGTGATGATAGAAAGATAAAGCAAGGCAGAAACAAAAATGCTAGGCAAGGATGGGCCCACGAGGCCAAGTACATCTAGGAAGAGTCTTTGGAGAAAGTTGAAAGAATTAAAAATCTATAGTTGGAGAAGAGCATTCCAGTTAAAGGGGGAAAACGTGTGCAGGAAGCAAGACTTGGCTTGATTTCAGTCTTATCTGGGATGCTAATTGTTCTAACCAAAATGTAGCATAGGAGTAAATTTATGTTGTTACTCCTGATACAAAAAAAGAAAGAAAAATATTACCAGTGCCTCATATGTAGCATAAAAACAATTTTGGTCTTGAACTTTTACCAAACCTGCTTTAAGCAGTGTGTTTCCTTCACTGTGTTACTAACAGATTCAGAAACAAGTTGAGTAACTGGCTACAGATTAGATCTTTAAACTGGCTCCTAAAACCTCTTGGCAATGAAACTAACTTGGGGGCAGTGTAGGTTTATAAAAATAAAGCTAAACTTGGAAATTGGAAGATGAGTTTGAGAATCCATGTTACCAATTAAACAAGTAATTAAACCATGATTTATCTTGTTTTGGAGAATAGAAGTTCATGTTTTGTTCTTAAATTTATTGAGGCAAAGGGAGATGTGTATTCAATATTTTCAAAGCTGTGGGTTACTATGCAGGGTGCTTTTAGTTACTGATCATGGCTTTACATTATTTTCCTCCTGAATATCTTATTATCTTGCCTTAGATTGGGTTTAAAGATAGAAATAATATGTGATAATATACAATTGATATAAGCCTTGTGGTGCTTCTTATGCATTACCAGATATAAATGAACATTAATTATTTGTAATAACTGGAAAATAAGGATATTTTCTTGTCTTCATTATGTTTACTAGAAACTTTGTTGTTTGCAGGATAAACATAAATGTTCCCATGCATACCAACCACAAAGCATAGAGTTAAGTGCTGGGATATATAGCAGTAAGGATGATTTGGTACCTGCCTATAAATTAGGCTGTAGTTTGAGAGACTCGTTAATGTACATGTTAAATTACCATATGCAATGTTGGTGAAGCAAAGCCTAAGGAATCTAAGTCTCCTTTATCCTATGGCGTTTCAGATGGGCCCTGTAGAATTAGAAAAAGGACCAAGACTGGTGGAGGGGCTGAGGGTATGAGCTCAGGGGTAGCGTGTATGCTTAGCGTATTGAAGGCCCAAGGTCAGGTTTCCAGCAAGCCCCTCACACATACATGGATGGATGGAGACAGCAGGAAAAGGCACCCCCAGCTGAAGGCATGACAGGAGTAAACGTGCAGGGAAACAAAGGCTGCATAACATTTTCAGAGACTGGTGATTTGAACTTTAGTGCAGAAGCAAGCAAAAGAAAGGCAGTTGTGGGCTTATTCTTAGAAAGTGTTAGACCAGCGGCACTCATGCCACAGCAGGTTGTTGTAGCATTGAAAGCTCTGAAAGGTTTGCCCTACCTGGTTTAGACTTAGGGAACCACTGAGGTCTGTAATTGTTGTTTGCTTCTTTGTTTTGGTAGTACTATTCGGTGCCTTTACACTGAGCTCATCCCCAGACCTTCTCTTTTATTCAAAATTGTGAGACATAATCTCATTTAAGTGGTCTAGGCTGTACTTGAACTTGGAATCCTTCTGCCTCAGCTTCCCGGAGTGCTGAGATGATAAAACCAGGTGCCACCATTGCAGCTGCCATTGAAGAGTTTTGAGACACATACCCCAATAGTTGATCTGGTACTATTAAGGATTGCTTGTTTTGGAGAAGACAGCATAGTAGTTAAAACATGTAAGTCAGTGTAGGTTTTAGGCTGAAGTGTTGTCACATGATGAATTTAGCAGATAAATCAGGCTCTTTTGTACAACAAACCGAATCACAAATACACATCCCTTGGTAAGTGAAAAACGGCTACATTTATTCATGATCATGGAAAGTCGTGCTCAGGGAAAGTCTTTGCTGACAAAAATATGGCATGGTTCTGAGAAGACAGGAAAGCAAAAGCCCTGTACCCAAAACACAGCACCCAGCAACCCAAGATAAACCAGGCTTTGAGAATTTAAAGGATGTGGACCTCAGCCCAGGTGTGTCCTCAGATATGATTGACAGGAGTGACTGACGGAGCGTGTCATCTTAGTGGCTCTCAACATGTATAACTGCCACAGAATTCACTCTGATCTCTGATCTTATTGCACCCATAGCTGTAGTGACCATTTATGACTCCTTGATGAGGTCTGAATAGGGTAAAAACGACTGGAAGGCCAGGAGGTCCCATGGCCTGTGATTTGCTCTTGCTTAGAGTGTCAGAGGTCTGGATTTTATTGTTTTACCTCTGTTAGGGCAGTGGAAGGAGGAATGGCTCTAGGTTGCTGTAAGGCCAGCCATGGTGGGGCATGCCTGTAATCCCAGGGGAGGCTGAGGCAGGAACATCGGTGCAAGTTTGTACAAGTTGGAGGCCAGCTTGGGCCAAAGAGTGAGTTCAAGGCCACCCTGAACTGTATAGTGAACCCCATCTCCAAAAGACAAAACAAACAAACAAAAGTGGAAGGGAGTGACTGCCTCAGCTCTGTTTTTTTCTGTCTATAGTAGAAGTACTGTGTATGGGAAGAATATGCAAAAGGGCAAATATAGTAAAATATTAAGTTGTCAAATTGTTAGGCTGTTAAATAGGTGAATTGTGAGTATTCAAATATTCCATGTATTCGTTGAACGACTTCCTGAAGATTTTTAAGAAGCTTCAGAATGAGCAGCCAGAGACAGAATAAATGACTGAATCAGAGGCTTATGTGGAAGCCATGTTTCTGTTCAAAAGTACGTGAGTACTGGAAAACTGTTTTCAAACTACATAGCTTATATTCATTATACCTATTCCATTCTCCTTAAGATTTTTCCATATAAGAGAGGAGACTTACTTTGGTAGGTGACTTGTTCCCTAATGTGAAGATTTTAAGTTTTTTATACACTTTTGATATTTAGGTTATTTGGGGATTGACTCCAACTTTACTGTAATAGCTAATGATATATGCACGTAAAGAGATTGGTGTAAAAGTCTTACTATACAGAAATGGTTAGGGGTCAGCATACTTAGGCTGAAGTTCTAGCTTTGCCTTACATGATTTCACTGTGCTAAACCTTTATTCCTGCTCTACAATCTGAGGATTGTATTTCATGATTTCTGTTAGGAGAAAGGAAAAGAAGAGTAGAGATACAAATTCAACAGAACAG